GCGAGAGTTATGATACATTATGTATTGTATTAGCACCATTAATCAAAGAGTTACATGATATTAAGACCAGATTTATTGATAACAATGGATATAAGTGAAATATTGAATTATATATCTCTGCTGATTGGAAATTCCTTAGCATTTGCCTAGGACATAAATTAGCCAATAGTGCAAACTTCTGTCTTTGGTGTTCTATAAATAAATCTCAAAATAGAATTTTTGAATTAAATAATAAACGACAAGATAATTAGACTATCAATAAGAACATTGACGATATTAATCAAAACTATCAAAATATCTTAGGACATAAGAACCCTCTATTATTTTCGATGATTCTGATTTGCAACTGGGTTGTCGATGAATTACATTTATTATTACACATATTTGATTGACTAAGCACTTGTTTTAAGTGAACTTCATAGTACACATCATTTTACTGATCAAATACATCAATTAATTATTACTAAAATAGATCATATTCAAGTTTATTTCCAATTTTGGGAAGATCAAAGTACTAAAACTTAGTTATTTACAACCTTAAATAGAAATAATAGACTTTATAGTCTTAAAGAATTTAATTTGAATATCATATTCACATTTCAAAAAGCTGTTATTATTAGACAACTATGGGATAGTTTTGTCAACTTATATGATGATATACATATCTCAAATATTTCTGGTAGCCAATTTCATCAAAAAGCTTGTCAATGGTTAAAACTCTTTTTAACAAAGTCTCAAGGTAATATAAATTCATCTGAGTTTATTCATAGACTTTATCGCCCAATGGACATAACACTATATATTCATGTTCTTGTATATCACGTACCTGAATTCATAGATCTACACAGAAATATTAAATTTTTTTTATTTTCTTGCTGTGGAGTAGAAAAAAAAATTATGATCATGTTCTATATTTTTTTAGAAAGTCTATGAAGGATGGTGGGATAGGTGATAATCGAAAATTTGCAATATTTGAAATTATGAAATATAAGAACTGGTTTAATTTTTTTTATGTTCATAATATACCAACTTATTTTAAAAAAGATCATATAATTCATAAATATTTGAATACTGTTATTGAATAGAACATTATATTTAATTTTATTACAATACTTATATATACATATACATGTAATATTTATTTATATACTATGTATAATTAAAGCTATATAATATATGCATATTTGCTACATAATTATTGTATGTACATGCATTATTTTAATCGATTTTTCTATATCTAATACTAATAAAATTGTCCTACAGAAAATTTTAAAGTAACCCAACCTGTCTCAGTTTTATTTCTATCTTCATCATTAATTACACACTTTTTTCAGATTATTATCAATTCGGGTTGTTTTAAATATTCAGATACTAACATGACTTCAGATCTTTGTCCATGTTCATAAATTCTACGTTCCTAATTTTCTCTATTAAAAATATTTGTGAGTGTATCATATGCACCATAACCACTGAATTTACAAATATATTTTTGGTGACAGATTGAATATTGCTTGATATAATTTTTAAAGATTGAAACAAACTCTGGTTCACTAAATGGTGCTGAAACTGTTTGTAAACCAGTATGTTTTATATGAAGTTTAAGCCATGATTGTATAAGATAAACTAACACATTCTTGGCTTCGGCAATATAAGTATTAGAAAGAACAGGAAGACTTTTAGGAGATGTATTATAATTAGAATGTTTAAGAGTTTCATGACGGCTCAATCCACTTTTTTTTTTGAATGCTATATTTGGACAAAGCAGACATGAAAAAGATTTGTCTGAAGAGGCGTTTGCAGAATTCTTGCTGCAATGTACTCTTTGGTTGTGTATTTTGAGGCCACGATAACTTTTAAATTTCTTATTGTCACTGAAAGAACATAAAATATTATCAGTATTATTGATGTTCATTTTTTTTTTGTAGATCTGTCTAATGAGATGCGTCACTTTAAAGAATAGATAATTTAAGATGGGTTGAATAGTGGGAAGATGGGTTGGACATAAGGCTGCCGCAAATCTGGGGTGCAAAAAAAAATTTTGAGGGTTAGTTTTGATCGATCAATAATAAATTCGGTGACCATTATTTTAAATTTGGTGACCATTATTTTAGATTTGGTGTCCAAATATCTGCTTAATTCCGCCAATGCGCCGTAATGTGGCTGTTTCCTCTTTAGGGTTGTATCACTCACGAAAATTATTAGAGTTTGAATACAAGATCCCAAAAAAGGGCACAATGGTCCCTAACCAAATATCACCAAACAATAATTCTAATTTCCCGAATAACCCAAATTATCAAATTACCTATTCAATTCTGACTCATCCGAACTGATTCTTATACAACTCATAATTTTTAAACTATTCAACTTTATTACTTTGGGGGTTCATAATAAACAATCATACATTTTAATATATTCAAATAATAGACGATCGTTCCAAATATTCATTAAATATGAATATCACACAATTGGATATATTATTTATGTTATTATTTTCATTAATAATAATAATAATAAACTAAATTCGCCTGCGGCATACTTACGTACGTACGTATTGCATATGAGTACCGCCAAATGAAAACCCGGAAATCTAAAAATAGATCACTTATGAAATTCATGAGTGATCTATTTTTAGATATCCGAGTTTTCATTTGGATTCTGCCTCAGTTTGGAACGTATGAAAGCTATAATGGGTTACGCTGATGATATCACATAACCATTTTGGCCGTCAGCCAATCAACAAAAAATATTAAAGGAATTATAAAACAAATCATTGCGATTTCTTATTATACCTGTACTTGGATCACGTGACTTTATGATTTTTCAAATAAAAACGGTTAAAAACTGGCTAGTAATTTTATAGAGCAACATAACTCCACAAAGTCACCTATCAGTGTTAAAAAAATCGGCATAAAAGTTTAACCGATTTGAAAATATTTAATTAATAATGTATAATCCTGGCATAACGCGAAATTTAAAACTTTTCAACTTGTCAGAAGTAAAAGTTTGAAAATCTGACCAGTAACATTGTTCATTGTAATAAGCTCTACAAGAATTACCAGCCAATTAAAATGTTGCTTCTATAAAACTATAAAAGTTGATGCGCTCGGTAATATACTCGACATTGATCACGTGACTGCACAGTTATTTTGTCTAAAATATTTTACAGCATTATTAACGTGTCATAATCATTCGAAAGTCGATTTTTTTATTACGTAATAACGAACGTCTTTGTTAATAATTATTAATAGATAAACAAACGAATAACATGAACGAAATAAGGAAAGCGAAAAACGAAAAATAGTGCCTACAAATAAAAAAAAGTCTGCTACCAAGCGATAACGAATCGTACTAACAAAAAAAAAAAACGATAAAAATTTTATGCTCGGATAAAATTTAAAATTTCTAATATAAAAAAAAGCGAACGGAACTTTTTACATCGAATAAAATATAAAATCCGTTAAAAAAAAAAAGACGGAAACTTTTTATATTCGAATAATAGAATTTGCGAATATATCTAATATATGTCTAATAGTTTATTGCGTTTGCTTATACTGTACCTACTTATTTATGTCCATTTTTTTGTAATATAATTAATAGAAGAGAGTACAATCGATATACTTATCAAACAACACCTTAAATTCATCGGCATCTTTAACTTCATCAGCATCTATAACTTCATTGGCATCTTTAATTTCCTCGGCATCTTTAACTTCATCAGCATCTATAACTTCAGCATCTTTAATTTCATCGGATGAGGAAGAGCTCTCTTCAAAGGTTGCTTGTGTATGTTTGTTTTTTCTTGGTTTATAAACATAATCTGGATATGTTGTTTTGTGTTTTTTTGTAGCTACTTCTGCTAAAATTGTAAAAAACTGAATAACTTCTGCCGATTGAGCATCCCAAGCATCACTTGCTTCCCTAGATAATTCGCTCGTTGTAATTGCCCTCTCAGGGCTTTCCTTCCTTGCGCGTGCAAAATAGTCCTTCAGGAACAAAATAAACTTATTTTGTGCACGGGTGGTTTTTTTGTATTTTGCTCTCGTGGAGCAAGAAGCTCCTCTAACGATAGAGTGAGTATATAGGGTGGATTTTTCAATATTTCTTTTAGTAAAATTTCAGGATCCGTTTGGAGTGATTCGGGGGAACGTGATGGATTTTCGAAAACTATTTTAGACAGACATTTTGCATACTGTAATTGACCAGTTTTTTTGGGCGTTGCGAAAAATGAGGTGATTATTTATAGCGGAAATGATAATATCAGTGTAATAAAAAATTCTATAATTCGACAACAAAATAATTAATTGCTGTATTGGTGCTTTAACAATTAATTCTTTAATATGAACATGCATTCGACTCTAACTTGTAAGATATAGCGTGATACATAATTAAAGCCTTCTTTGCCAATTTTTCAATTTTTTGATAATGCATATATTTTGTTTGAGTTGTTTTTCTTTGTTCACCGTTCTCA